GTGGTTGAGTAACATATACTTCATTTGTAAGTGTACCTTGAAGGAAAGCATTGTTGATGTCCAATTGCTTTATTTTCCATGAATTGTTGACGTCAATTTGGAGGACAAGACGAATTGTATCAGATTTCACAACCGGCTGAACGTCTCTAAATAAGCAAGGCCTTGTTGTTGATTGAATCAGTAAAGGCCTATCTTTTTGCAAGGTCCTGAAACCTTCCCACATGCTTTGTAAATATCAAGAATGTCATTAGAACAATACTTGAGAGTAAAAATTCATTTAGTATCAATGACATTTTGAGATGGATGTGGTGACACCAAATGAAACATATTGTGGCAAAGTTGAGGGTTGAGCTCATTACTCATGGCATTCCTCTATTTGGGATTTGTAATGCTTGGTTCGCGGTTGTGGAAATAAAAGGTTTGGTGGTGATGGCTGTTTTGCCATATTTGGGGTTTGGTTTGATGATATTATTTTGTTGTCAGGTGCGCATGGGAGGTGCATGAGGTGGTTTTGGGACTGATTTATTTTTAGAGGAAGAGGGGACATTTCATGTTGGTCTTGGAGGGAGAGGTTGTGTTGTATTTGAACTGGTGAGTTGATTTTGTTGGTGGGTTGGATTAGTTGAGGATTAGCTGGAATTTGGTAAAGTGCTTGGGGCATTTGGTAGGATGGTGGGTTGGGCTATTTCTGGTTATGGGCCTTTTGAATGAATTTGTTAGTCCATATCATTTTCATCTTCACTCGAGCTCGGGGGCGTGAGTTGTGGAGCTGGCATGAGCGGCAACAAGCGATTGGAGACAGAAAGAAAAGGAGGAAAGAGTGGATTTAAGGATGGAGCTTCAGGCGATGTTTGGATATTGTTCTCCAATAATGAAAAAGGAAAACTGTTTTCGACAAAGGTAACATGTCGAGAAGTGTATAGGCGGCTGGATTATCGATGCAAACATAGAGACGGACTATGGGTGAGTAAGTATCCATGGAAAATACAAGGTCTGGAGCACGAATCTTGCTTGTGTGTGTTGCAAGGTCAGAGTCATGGGAAGCATAGGTAACTAAAACGCGAAGATTGAGGTAATTAGAGGTCTGTTTGAACCATTTCTCGTAGGGAGAGATATTGTCCAGCACTGCAGTGGGTAATCGTTTGATCAAGTACACCGCTGTGGCAAAGACAGGTTTGGAAGGCGGCTTGACTGAGAAGTGTGAGACCGATTTTGACTATATATCAGTGCTTCCTCTCTGATATCCCGTTATGTTTGGGGGTATGTGGTGGTGTGGTAAGATGAGTGATTCCATGGGCCGCCAAGTATTTCTTCAACGCGATATATTCGCCGCCATTTTCTGAATAGAGAGTTCAGATCTTAACATGAAACTGATTTTCCAGAAGGGCTTGGAAGCCTGGGAAAACATCACGAACCTCTGATTTCTTCTTCAGTGGATACAGCCATGTATACCGTGTGTAGTGGTTCACAAAAACAAGGTAATATAGATATTTTTCTTTGGAGGGAATGGGAGAAATCCAGACATCTGCATACAGATATTCAAGTAGTGTTTGAGAGGTAATTGTGTTTGAGAAAAAATGAAGTTTGTATGTTTTATTAATAAGACAACTGGAAAAAGCAGATTGTTTTTGTAGGGAATATTAATTGGTAATTGAAAGCGAGAAATAAGAGTTTCTAAATTGGGAAAAGAGAGATGGCCAAGTCATGAATGCCATGAGCAAGGGTCTATTTTATTTGTGGGTGAAGCTGCGAATGAAATAATGGATGGAGAATGAACTGACTGCTCGTATAGCTCGCCTTTAGTGTTGCGTTGAAGCAATCAGACCCATGTGCTGAGATCCTTCACCTGAAATGGACAGGAAACAATTCAATAGACACTTGGTTAGAATTGCACAAACAGTAAACAGAGATAAGGTCCTTTTGGAGGTTAGTAACATAGAGAACATCTTTTAAAGCTAAGGAACGAGAGGGAGTGGAACCAATATGCGATATAGGGAGGCCCGAACCATCAACAATGGTAACTTCTTTGCAACCTTAATCTAACTGGAGTTTGCGGTGGTGGAGGAACTGGCGACCCGAATACGGTTTATGTATTAACAGATTGCTGAGGTCATTAGTCAAGTGATGTGTTGTCCTACTATCGAATAACCATTCATTGGTGTTGTATGTTAAAACGGCTGCCATATTCACACGGGGTTGCCAAGGGGCTGAGTAGTTGTGTTGTGACCTTAGGAATTGTCCATAAGAGCCACCAGAAGTTTGTAATTGAGAGCATGTTCTGGTGCTATGACCATGAATGCCACAAATTTGGCACCTGCCTTGACATCCCCTTGATGGTTGGTTTTCCTGTCGTAGCTGAAATTTCTTATGTTGACATGTATGTTGAGGCCGATTGTGAGTGTTCTTCTAGTTGTTGTTGTTATGATAGTTGCCACTGGAGTTGCTGTTGTTGTGGTGGCGATACGTGACAGCATTTGCTGGGTCAGGAAGAGAAGGAGATGCAACAATAGCAGTTTGACGTTTGGCTTCGTAATTGATCAGCTTTTCATGAATTTCAGTGAGAGAGATTGATGTTTATGGGCCCTTGATCTGGCCAACCATATTTTTATACTCTTTCGGCAATCCTTCGCGCACAAACTCAATCTGATCTTCCAGATCTATTGACTTGCGATGCAATGCCAACTGATCAAATCTTGTTGTAAATCCTTGAAAATATGCATTGATAGTTTTAGTATCTTTGGTCCATTGTTTCATTTGTTTCCTGAGTTGTTTGATGTGTCCTCTGCTAGGTTTAGCATAAGTTGAGGACAGTGTGCTCCAAATATCTTCAGCAGTGATTGATGTGGAAAGTAACGATTGAATAGAGGTGGAAATAGCACTAAGTAACGCATTGTATATCAGCTTGTCTTGTCTTTTCCATGTCGTGTAGGCCTGGTTAACAGAGACAGTTCCATTGGTAGTGATTTTTGGTGGTGGAGTTTGGAGAGATCCATCGAGATACCCTGTGAGGTCATAGCCATCGAATAAAGCATGAACTTATCTGCTCCACATGAGGAAGTTGGTTAAATCGAGTTTTGTGATATTTGTTATATTGACATTGAAGAGAGTTTGAGTTTCGGCTTTAATGAGAGTTTTAGAGGGATAGGCCAGAGAGTTCGCCATTTGAGAAAGAAGATTGAATAAATAAAGAAAAAGTTTGAAGCTGATCGGTGGCAACTACTGTGAGATTTTAATTTTTAAGTATCGAAGCTGTGATACCATATAAAATTAGAGACTGAATGATTCTATAAGATGAATAGGTATAATATAAATAGTGTACATATGAAAGATTAAGGTAATATGAAAGACTAATCTATTTGTTATATATCAACATTCTACAGCTTCTTCATCGACGAAAAGAAGAAAGTGGTTGTGTGTTGTGCTGGACCTGATGGTGTACGAGATACACCCCTTTAAAAACATGTTAAGCGAGAAAGTACGGTAAAAAACATATTGGAGAATTTATATGCTCCAAGTTTGGTTCAAATCAAGGATTTATTTTCAGTTATGTTCCAAGTTTGGTTCAGATCCATCAAGGTACAGTAATACACAACAAAAGATTGAAACTAATCGATTAAAGCAATGACGTAATTTCTTGTATATATTTCTCTCATTTTTCTCTTTTATTTTTTATTTTTTGCTTAGTCAATGTCGCTTGACTTTGGAGAAAGCACGGAAACGAGAGAGAAAAGACTCAACTCTTTGTTGCTTTGTATCTGTTTCTTGGTTTGTTTTTTAGCTGATCTCAAGACTCGTGTTGATAAAAGTGCGGTTATCAGTGTGTGTCGATGATGCGGAAGTTTGCAAGATCGATGTGTTGCTTGATTTACGAGTTCTGTATATCTAATAAAAGATCAACATCTAATGAGATTATAATCTTATAAATATTTGTTTATGTTATTAACTTTATATAATTATAAGATAATCAAAGTGTTGGAAGGAAAGCCTCGCCTATTTCTGATTTTGGCTGTGTCTTAAAATCGTTGTTAGGGTTTGATTCCTTCACTGTTTGTTTGTTTATTAGAGATACTCGCTCTGTTCTGAAAATTCTTTTATCAGATGCGTATAATAGGCAGATATAAGAAATAAAGTAACTACTGTAGCTATTTAATTTCAAAGATTGTAGTGAATTAATTTTTTTTTGTAACATAACTTATAATTTTAAACAAATTCATGGTAATAATTGTTGGACAACCTCATAAAGATTAGAGAACTAAGGTTCGAGTCAGCTTATTACGATTACAATCATGGTTGACTTGGTCATTGTGAATGCAGCCTATGGCAAGAATTACCTAAATGCTCCACATAATCTGATGATTAATATGGGTTGTGGTCCGGAATAGTTATTTTAAATGTGTATTTGAAGTTAAAGAATTAAAAAAAAAAAGTTAAAGAATAATTGTGACATATATGACATACCTAATTATAACTTTTCAAAAGCGACAGTCCATGCAATGAAAACGACAACTTAGGTAATTTTCTTACCATTCTTTTTGTTGTTGTAACGTGGAATGTTCCAAAAGTACTTGTTTGAGTAACATTATTGGATATTTGGATTAGCGTAGAAGCAAGTGAAACCCTCTATTGATAACGCTTTACTCAACCATCTAAAAAAATTCTCAATATTCCCACAACACACAAAACGACAACCTACACTCGCATCTCTATATATATAAAGTTATAAACCAAAACAAGATTATTAACAAAGAAAGCAAGAAGAAGAATCTCATAACTACAGAAAGTCAGAAACAATGAATCTCTCTCAACTCTTCATCACCATCTTCTTTTTATACTTCCTTGTATCACAAGTAAACTCAACAACGGACAATATGATCGACCAAACCTGCAAAACATGTGCAGCCAAATCTACAAACTTCGATTACAACTTTTGCCTCTCCTCTCTTAACAACTCTCCAATCTCTCCTCCTCCGAGCAATCTCTCTTCTCTTGCTTTAATTCCAATGCTCCAAGCTCTCGACAACGCAACCGCAACAGCTTCCACCATTCAAGTCCTAATGAGCGATGGAGGAGGATTCGAGGACGACGGTTTCGGCCGTTCTTGCCTGTGTGACTGCCTCGAGCTTTACGAGGACGCGGCGGATAGATTGGAGGAAGCAGTTAGGGTTTTTGTTACGAAGGAACAGAGAGAGACTGTGAAAGTGATGGTGAGCGCCGCCATGGAAGCCGCCGCAACGTGTGAGGATGGGTTTAAGGAGAGAGACGGCGGTGACGGTGGTGGTGGTCACATGACGTGGACGTCTCCGATTGGTGGTGAAAATTACAAGTTGTTTGAGTTGGGTGAGATTGCTCTTTGTGTGAGCAATATGCTTTCTTCTGTTACATCTATGTCTTTCTGATTAGTTTCATTTTATATTTTAAACAAATGATGGTACTATGGTGTAAATCTATAATTACGATTTAAGAACTTTTAGGCTTTTGTTTGTTTTATGTAAAATTGTGTCAACATATCGAAACAATCAGAGAGACTGTAACCACTACAAGAATTGAGTAACATAGTTATGGATTTTGCTACGACAGCAAATTGTTGCAAAAATTTGTTATAAATCGATACAAATTTGTGACGTTTTCAAAAAAATTATTTTCGTGACAAAATAGTAAAAATTCATAACTAAATTGAGACAGATTAGAGACAACTTTGGAGTTGTTACATATTTGCTACAATTTTGTCACATGATGGTTGCAACAATATTTAACACAACAAATTTGTAGTAAAATTGTAATAAAATGTTACAAACTTATTACAATCGAATTGTTGTAACATAACCATTAAATTTAAAAGTTTTTAAAATAAAATAGTGGCAAATTGCTACTATTTCTCTTTGTAGCAAAATATATTATTTATAACTGATTATATTGAAACAAAATTTATTACAAAATTAGTAAACTTTCAAATCAAACAATCGGAAGTTTAAGTTTCATATTAAAATATAACTAAACATTATATTTTTAAGATTAGAAATACAAACTCTAAATCTAAAAATACAAACCATACTCCTAAACTCAAACCCTAAATCCAAAATCTAAACCCTAAACCCAAATATGCAAAGTATAAATCCTAAACTCAAAGCCTACATCCTATACAGTAAATATAAAACACATATGTACCAAAATTTAAACCTTTAACCAAAAAACTGTAAACCCTAAAACCTAAAATCAAATCATAAACCCTAAAATCAAATCCTAAACCCTAAAATCAAACATTAAATCCAAAATGCAAACCCTATATCATACACTACAAGAAAACATAACAAATTCCTACTAAAATTTTTACCAAAATTTTGGTAGGAAAAAATTATTACTAATTATCTATGAAATTATGACGAAAATTTGAAATAGTAAAAAATCCGTTAAAAAATTACTACGAACCAAAGTGGTCAAAAAGTGATCAGATATTTTCTACCACATTCCTATTAAACTTATATTCATCAAAATTTTGGTCAACAATGGTAAAAAAATAATTTTAAAAAATTGACCATCAAATAGGTAGGAAAATCATAAAAATATAATGATTTCCTACCAAATTATATTCATAGGTAAAAATATTATGACCGATTTCCTACCAAATTATATTCGTAGGTAAAAATATTATGACTGATTTCCTACCAAACAATTCTGATAACAAACAAAAAAAAACTATGACGTAAAGAAAAAAAAAAGAATAAAAGAAAACTGATTTCTTATTGGTTAATCTAAAGAGGTAAGAATCACAAAAAAAATTTAGAAAATTAGATATTTCAGATAATTTTTCGAATATCAGATCGGATCCGGATATTACCGGGTACCCAGAAGTCACCAACAATTATATCCAATCGAGTATTGTGAATGATTCAAATCTATTTGGGTTGGATATTTTTAGATTGAATTTTTGGATCTGGATAAAATGCGCATCCATACTGTTTTCTATCAATTTTCTATGAAAATATGTTATGTTTTATTTTTTATTCTAAATCGAATGTGGTAGATAACTCGTAGGAAAATACGTCAGAAATATTAGTAGGAAATTGGTGGAAAAATACTGACCAATTTCTTACGAAATAATCCATTAAAAAATTAATTCCTCCCACTTACCTACAAATATTATTTAATTTTTTCCTATTATTTTCCTATCAATATATATACTATGTAATGCGTTTTTACGAGTGTAACAAAATTTTAAAATTAAATCAGTTTCAAAAATTATGTAATAATTATTATAGTAATTATAGATTTGTTATAAAACGCACACAAAACTAAAAAAATTAAAAAAATATATATAAATGTATATTATTTGATTCTCAATATAGTTTGAACTATTCTTGTTATTTATCTTTATTTTTTTAAGCTGTATGAATTTTACTTTTTATTGTTTACTAAACCTGCTTTACTAGAAATCTAATTATTTAGTTTCATTTACAAAATAAAAAGATATGCCACATATATATATATATTGATATACTAGTAAAAACTCTGATCCAAATCTCAACAATAAAAGCCACGTGCATCACATCCCTTAAATCCCACATCTTTCACTAGCTTTTTCATCAAGCCTTTTACCCACTAAGTAAAAGATTGATGGATAAAGATTTTGCTGTATCTACCCACTTCGTTTCCATAAAATCTTCAACAAATCTAATTAATGGGTTAAAAGTATAACTTTTCCTCTTCCTATCTCTAACCAAAGATGAAATCTATGCAATCTCTCTCTTCCAAATCTTTTGTCTTCTTTCTAGTTGTAAATAATTTTCTGGATCAGTTTCGCCTGCTTATATCTTCATCGTCGACTCCTCCCTCATCCTTCTCTCTTCAGCCTCCTCCCTCCTCCCTCCTCCCTCCTCATTTCTCTCTTCAGCCTTCTCCATCCCTCTCGCGGAATCGCAAAAAATGTCTATGCCATTAAGCAATGGTGGGGAGAATTTATTGTAAGTTGTTTATCACGCTTTAATTCCTAATTCATATACATTTTTATCTTTCAATCTTTGTAATTTTTGTCTGAAGCTTTTTTGTTTTATTTGCAGCAAGCCTTCTATTGGGAAAAGGCACATAAATCAGCTGTGTATCGTCTGTGGCGGAGCATATGAAGAAGTACATGCTGCCCTCTGAAACTAGTCTTGTTCAGTCACTAGTGAGAGCTTTGCTGGGGCTTTCGCAGGAATTGCAGAGGATGACCACATGGCTACAGATGAGCTTCTCCCTCTGAATCAGAACGATGGTGAAGATGATGGTTTCGATACCCAGGATGGTGATGGCGGTGCGGCATGGTTATGTGTTTCAACTTCATCTTGTTAAATATGTTAAATATGGTTATATGCTCTTAACTAAAAAACTTGTTTTTGTTTGATTTGTTAACAATGTTTAACATTTCAAAGATTAATTCCTTTGTATCTTTTGTAACTCTTAATCTTCTCTCCTTGCAATCTATGTTTAATATCTAATGTAATCTATGTTTAATATCTATTGTAATATTGTATAAATTTTTTCTTTTTTTTTAGTATAGTATGAGTTTCTAAAGCAAAAACTTATGGCAATTTCTGTACCTATTTATCTATAATAAGTCACAACAAGTTTACAGATTTCTGTCGTAAATAGTGATGGCTAACTTTGTAGATCTTTGTTGCTATTTATTACAGTATATTTGAAGGTAATTGTAATTATTCTATTACATTTAATCTGTGTATAGTTGTAACAAGTTGCTACATTTTTTGTGTGGATATTTGTAGTGATTTTTGCTACAACCAGTTAGTGGTATTTCTAACAAATAGCCACGATATGTTTATTACAAAATTGTAGTTAATTTATCACAGAAAAAATTGTAGCAAATTTGATTCAAATTGTCACGATATTATTTTGTCTCCAATTTGTAGCATATTTGCTTCAATTTGTTACAATGTTCTATTTGCTACAATTGCATAGTTACGAAAATAAAATGGAAACTAATTTGTAGCAATCGAGAAATAGCTACAGATTTGTTAACATAGTTACAAAAAATTCTGTAACTATGTTTCTCATTTCTTGTAGTGCTCTAACATCCAATTTTTCAACTCTAATACTTATTTATTTATTTTTTAAAACCAATTGTATATCTGAATTAGGGTTCCTCTGAATTAGATTAGGACAATATCATAAATACATAATTACAATCAAACGTGAAAACAATACGTTAGATATTTACTTAATAAATAATAATATAGAGATATCATCTATACTATTATTTGCAAAGTAAAAATCTGACATATCACTCTTCTGTTCACTCTCAGGAAGTTGATTACCTTACAATACTTAACGAAAAGTACTGGTTTATAATTATGTAATTATGTAATTATGCTATTTTCCGCAATATTTCGTCAAAATCTTCAGAATATGTGATTAATTTAAATTTTTATAGATATTTAAATGCTGAATTTGTAGTGGTGAAAATTATTATACTATTCTGATTTTTTTGCATAAGGGTCCGTTGTAATTTATAATTGTACAAGATTAAGTCACATATATCCAGAATTATAAGTTAATTTTACAATTTCTTAAGAATAAAAAATAAAAAAATTAGAAAACATAATTAGATTACCATTCAAAAATAAAATAAGAAATAGGAATATAATATCACGTATCGAGAGAAAAGCCTAAAAACAATTCTTTTGTTTTTTCTATTATATGCTTTCCAATTAAATTTTATCATACATTTCAAAATATTTAATTTTTCTGATTGCTTTTTAAACTATGTTTATTTTTTATTATTTAATAACTCATATATTTTTTTCTTCAAGACTTGACAATATATTTATACCCCTTAAAATCATATTTGACTTTTTTAATTGACACAAAAGAAAAACATTTATCATTTTTTTCTTTTGTTCTTTATATAATTAGAAAATATTATACTGATTACTAACTGGCACATATAGTATTATATCTTAGGGATATTATTTTGTTCATGAAAAATTATTAGAAACCTTATTGGTTTATAAAGAAGTTACGTATTTTTTTAAAGATTATTATTTATAGTATATTTCTTAAATTAGAGTTAATCTTAATTATGTTTACTTTGATTTTACTTTATTTTTATTTTTAAATATTCTCTTTTTAGGAATAGTATTTTATTGCATAATTTTGGAAACTAAACTTTTTTATATATTATGGTTTTTCTAGGTTTTTGACTATAATATAGGTTTTGTTTATAAAGTCTCTTGATATTTTTTTAGTCTTTTCAAGTTTTAACAGTTTCAAGTATGTTTGGATCATTTGTGGAGATGTTAAGTATCGTGGAGCATTGTGAAGATGTTTCTGAAAAGATGAATGTTAGAGATGAGATTCGTACATCTCTAAAAAGCCTTATATGAATTCTGGTCGGCCCATTTGGAAA